AATACGTAAATATTTATTAAATTGATTTATTCATTCATAAACAAGTGAAAGTTACTGTGAAGAAATCTAATTATTAAATATATCTATATTTATAATGATTATAACATTAAATTTATAATGATTACATTTTATAACTCAGTTACAAGTTTTAAATAATATTTTTTTAAATCCTTATTTTATTCCCTTTCAGAAATATTCAGAGAAAGTTAAGTACTATTTAAAGTATTTCGCTCTTAAAATAAAAGGTGCTCTAATTTGAAATGGACCGAATAGAGCATTAATTATAAATTGAATTATAATTTTCCATTTAAAAGATGCCTCAGAAGCTAAAATATGTCATATTTGAGAAAGTATTTTAGAAAGAAGCTTCATTAATAGAAAAGAAATTAAGCATAATTTTAATATTAATAACACAATAAACTTTGATCTTAATTTTTGTAATTCCTAACAGAATAAAATCGAATTACCTTAATTTTTTTCTAATGTAATTAACGATAACTTGTGAAAATATTTCATTCAAATTAAACCATTCTGAACAAACTGTTCTGTGAAAAGTATAGCATGTAATTCCGTTCAGAATGAAATTTCTTTAAAAATGCATTCTTTTCATAATTTTTTTTTCTAATGTAATTAACGAAAACTTGTGAAAATATTTCATTCAAATTAAACCATTTTGAGCAAACTGTTCTGTGAAAAGTATAGCATTTAACTGCGTCCAGAATGAAATGTCGTTTAAAAATGTATTCTTTTCATATACGTAGAGCCCACCAGCGGCCGAGCGGTAAAGTCGCTAAACACTGGTAGTTCGGTTCGAGGTTCGAATCCCGCGAACGGGCTGGCTGCATGGGTGTTTTCGTGGTTTTCCCCATGTGTAACGTGTATACGAGCCAGTTTCCCTTAGAAAGTCCTCCACGAAGGCATTCCTCCCCTTAGGCAGATAGCCCTAGTGTGCTTTGCCATAATTAAATACACACCAACACCATATACGTAGAACTCTGAAGTTCTGTAGAAAGAGAAAATACAGGGGTTAGACAAAAATATGGAAACACCTTTAAAAAAACATGTTTCTTTGCTTAATATGGTGTAGGAAACCCGTTGGCATCCAAAACAGCTTGCAGTCTTCTCGGAATGGATAAATACAGTTCCTGTATGTTTGCCAATGGAATATTATACCATTCTTCCTGCAAAACGGTGGCAAGTTCAGATAACGATGTTGGCGGTGGATAACGAGAACGCACTTTCCGTTCCAATGTAGACCACAAAGGTTCGATAATATTCAGGTCTGGTGACTTTGGTGGCCAGGGGAGATGGCCATATTACTCGCTCAGACCATATTACTCGCTTCCACTGCTCTATAGTCCAGGCTTTATAACTTAAACACCACCTTTTCCTGTTACGGGCATTAGCATCACTGATGAGTGGCTTCTCAATTGCAGCACGGCCAGCAATTTCCTGTTTATGAAGCTCCCTTCTAATTGTTTTGGTACTCACAGGGTTCGGTAACACAACATTCATTTCAGCAGTAACTTTTGCACCTGTGGTCTTCTTATTTTTCGTCACAATGCCCTTAATGATCGTCTGTCACGATCACTCAGGACACACTTTCGTCCGCGCTGTGATTTAGCAGATGATGTTTTTCCGCTTTTCAAATATGCGGAATAAATCTTCGATACAGTACCTCTTGAAACACTAAACACCTCGGCTACCTTGCTTACGGAAGCACCTACCATACGTGCTCCAACAATTTGCCCACGTTCGAAGTCTGTTAACTCTGACATAATGCAATGAAAACCTCACATAACAGTACTCCGACAACAACTGAACTGTTTAGCACATTTACGAAGTTGTATAGGTGGCGTCAGAAGTCAAAAACGCCAGCGCCACCTACATATTTCATTAAAACCAATCTTTCTTTTCAAACATGCATTTCACAAGGTGTTTCCATATTTTTGTCCATCCACTGTATATACATTTAATATGTATATTTACGACGTAATTACAAAATATTTACATCCGATCCTTTCAAAACCCATGGAACTTAATTGTAAATTACCCAATGTTTTGGTCACCACCAAGGAGTCTTTATACTCCATGGTCACCACGTAGGGGATCGCCAGTGCTTCAGAGCAGGGTATGTTGGAAACCGGTTACGGCTAATCCATATTACTTCCTACCTCCATGGTTGAGACTCCTGCTTTAGCATCATTAGTGTGGGAGGAGGGATATTTTTCAGCAACGATTTATCAGCAGTTTCTTTACTGTTATTGCACCTATCGTTATCTGAGAGATGACAGGCAGAAAGTTTAGAAAAAAAAAAGTGCAGGTTTCTGCGATTACACAGCTTGGAAAATTTGGATTGTGAGATAGAACTCTACCACAATCTTTGGGAAGAGAAAAAAGTCAGGATTGATGATATAAATAAATTAACTTTGAAAGACTTAATGACACAAGCAATTTTTTTTCCCCTCAAGCAAAACAAGCTTTTCTTACTTTCTCACTACGCTATTAAGTGCTCATTACGCAAAATAAAAATTTGAATGCACTCAGCAGTGACATACAGCCGCTTAAATGTCTTATGCATGTTGAGAGTGCATGGAAAGCTAACAGAGGAAAAAGAATCAAAATAGATAGAAGGTTCTAGTTAATTTAACTACGTTAAAAACAAAATTTTAAGAAAAGAGAAGAGAGAACGTCTCTTTACTCCAATTCCTCAAACTTCAGCAATCTGCTTAATCATGTATTCGAACCCATTATTCATTCATTTGTTTAGTCAATAACAGGAAATGCATGCGAAAACTACCTGTCTAAGGTGCGTATGTGTTAATGGAGGATCTTCTAAAGGAAACTGGCTCATATTCACGTCACAAGTAGAAAAATCTATGGGAATGCTCTTTCAATCAGCCATTTTACCAGTATTCGAAATTTTGGACTGGAGTTTTCGCAATCAACTGCCCTTCCATTCTATCTGTGAAGGACATATTCGGGCCAAATTCTAATTTTGTTTTATCGTTGTAAAGTTGCTTGCAACCTCTGTCTCACATCCTGGCTACGTCCATGTGTCCTCGATAACTCATCTAAAACCTTTGGGATTAACTTTTATCGCAAACTATTCTTTTAAATCTGTTGAATGTTTTACAGTAGTAATGTTTTTGGTCTTGTCTGGTTTTAGATATAATAAATCAACGACTTGTTACTGTTAGCATGGAATGTGTTCCAGACATCAGTGCATTTTCAACAATTTCTCGCAATTTCCATCGTTCTATAACAGCAAAGATAGTTAAACGCTTTACTTCAAGAATGTTTGGGATATTTCGAATACTTTTACCATCTTTAGAAAGATGAATTATTACTTTTGTAGCAGAATTCGTCGTTAATTTATAGCATCTTGCAATGTTTACTTCAGAAATGGAGCTGCAAATATATTGCGCTAAACAAATTATAAGGTATTTTCTCCCTTCTTTCCGTTTGACGTCGTGGTGTAATTGGAAGAGTACTCGACGCGTATTTTAGAGGTCCAGGTTTTTCAAGTCTTCTAATTAAAAAAAAAAAAAAAAAAAAACCCACTAATGACTCTACAAGTGGCGCTCGCAATAAAAGATGGTATACGATAATTCTTCAGCACTAAGATTTTTGGCGATTGGATGCTGCGCAGGCACTCTACGTTTAGCTCTTGCCAGTTTTGACTGTTGTAATTTTCGATTGGATGCTGCGCAGGCACTCTACGTTTAGCTCTTGCCAGTTTTGACTGTTGTAATTTTCGGCTTCGCATTACTCCGCTACCGACAAATTGATTTTAACGCTCCGATTTAAATTACTGAGGCAGCGTAGAATGCATTTAAATTTTGCAGCCTTAAACCACTATTTCACTATTTGACTGTGCCTTTAGTTGCATCCCCCCCGAGCTGTAAATGATTTTGTTTATATTCTAAAGTATGCTTGAATAAAAAAGTTGTTTAAACCTTTCCAAATCTTTGTACAGTACAAAGTCTGTAATCCGGACGTCCATTATCCGGAATGATCTATAATTCGGACCTCAAAGACACAAACTTTACACATGTGCGTAGAGAATGCACATACATTTCTTTAAAAGCATACGCGCGTATGCTTTTAAAGAAATATTTAGTAAAGTAAACAAATAAATATTAAGCTTGTTTTTGTAAAATTTGATACCCTTTAGATCATAATTGCTCTTTATTTCATAAATTAGCGTTTTATATTTTAATTGTATAATTTCTGCATGCCATCTTACCAGATTTAAATTGATGATCTATAATCCGGAAAAAACCCTAATCCGGAATCGTCGAAGTCCCGACGAATCCGGATTACGGACTTTGTACTGTAGTTACTTTCAGACGTAGCGATGATTTTCTTCACATCTATTAGAGCTTTTGGACAGATTACCAGTTCCAAATTAAGTAAAACCTCATAAACGTGTAACATTAAATATTGTAAAGTTTATAAAATATGATTTATCCTTTTGAAATTTGAAATTACGGATTACCTCCAGATGAATGCAATTTAATTTTGAGTAGATTAAACATAAATACCAAAACGTTAAAGTTTAATTATTTCCTGAGATGAAGGGCTTATATGTAAACATATTTAGGAAGTTACCTTGTACATGCTAATTTACTAACTTTTATTTCTATGAAACTCATTTCGACAAGAATTACTTGTAACTAACAAATGATACGTTAAACACAATTTTTTGCGACAGAAAATTGCGAAATATATATATCTAAAAGTTCTTATTAGTTGCAGTGAAAGAGTCGACCAGCTCAAGAATAAACATGAGGCTAGATTTTCTGAGAATTATGGGTAAAGGTAATTGTTGCTTTTTGAATGATGACAACGAACAATAATGGGTGATATTATGTAATTTTCCTTGTTAAATTATCCTGATTGCATCGAGATACCTGTTTCGTTTTACTTTTCTTAAACATTTTCAGACGTTTTCCTTCTTCGATTTTTTCTGTTCAAGGCCAGACATTCTAGCTTATATTCCAAACTATGGGACTTGATCATGAATGCGTGCGGAAAAGCGCTGGTATGATTTGTGTTAAAACACTTTCGTAAACTGATATGTAAACTTCTACATATATTCTTTCAAAAAATCTCTGTGTCAACTGATAAGTACAACAGCAACTGAACAACTCAATGTCAACTGGTAAGTATTCACTTTCTACCCTAAATTAAGAGCATTATACAAATTAACATATAAGAAGTTACTGAAAGGTGCGCATAATTTTATAACAAGTTTCTAATGAAATACGAACTGTCTATTGGTAATATAGCCTCTAATAAAAAGAAATTTGAAAAGTTTCGAAAATCAAATCTTAAAAAAATTACAAAATTTAGCTTAAAACGTAGATAGTTAAGATAATTGTTTTCATGCTGATATTTGTCCATGTGTTCATATTATTTATGCGTTCTTTTCAAATGATTACGTATAAAAATATGCTCATTATATTATAAGTACTTTTGTGATCGAAATTTAAGTGATTTTATCTCGATACAGTCGCAAAAGTTTCAGAATAATTCACGAAAGGTAATTTCACATTTAACTTACAATACAACTTACATTAACATATTGCCTTTTCAAATAAAAACGTGTTTCACACGGAAGCTTAAGAATAAATACGACTCTTATTAATACAAAAGAATAAATAACCAAATAATATACTCACAACCCTACCTTTTCAATTTGGCATATAATTAATCAACCAATATGATGAATTGAATGAGGTTGTTTTATACCGGAACATGAAAATAAGCAAGACAAGGAATTTTTTATTTCAAACTAGTAAAGTAAATAAAAAAGGAAAGGAAAAATCTGAAAGCTTTCAAATTTTATGTTACGCTCATAAGGGCGGTTTTTTTTTTTTTTTTTTTTTTTTTTTTTTTTTTTTTTTGTTTTGTTTTGTTTTGTTTTTTTGTTTGTTTGTTTGTTAGTGTTGTGTTATCTTTATTTATTAAATATCATGTTCTTCGCACTTAAACCATAAAATTCAATTCAACAGCAATATCGCAAAATAATTTAAAAAGAGCACACCTTCAGAATTTCCGATACGCAGTCTCGTGCGCTGGAGAAATTTTTTTTTCCTGTGTTGCCATTGCTCGCTTTGAAATCTTTGAATTTTTCCATCAAAAATTTGTTAAAGTTTTATAAAATTTGAAATAGAAATAAAACAAATTCGAAATCTAAAATTCGGGCTTCCAAGTGCGATGTTCGGTTAGAAGACTACGTTATTCAAAATTTGATGGCTCTAAGTACTGTTATTTTTTCACAATACGAGAAACATTCATACATTCATGCAGATTCTCCATTATTTAGTTTCTTTAAACATAATACATGGCGATAATATTTGGTGGCAACAGTTTGAAAAGTGAATCGACATAAAATGTCGTTTTGAGATTAATAGCGCTTCTGGGCTAACGCCCTTTGGGCTAAAACACAGCGACTTCAGTCTAACTTTTTCTACATTCAGTATTTTCCATAAACTCTAAACTCCTGTACTAACCATTAATTTGAAAATATATTAGTACAATTGATTTACTGATTAATTTATGAGAGGATTATTCTTGCTGTGTACTCATGTCTACATTTATTTATTTAAGAAAACTAAAATGTTTGCTTTCAAAATATACCATATCACACATGCATAAATATAATGATGAAAAATACAAAACAGTTTGATAAAAATATGAATATGGTTGAGTTAAACTACGAAATCGACAAAATGCCTAAAACTTATTCTGAAAAATCAAAAGCATGTTAATACTTTAGTTAATTATGTTTAATTTCATTGTATGTACACACTTTAGACATTTTTTGAGAGTTTTACGTTTAATAATAATTTTGAATAAAATATAAAATACTTTCTTACTATTCTTTTATTAACTAAACAATCAGCTTTATTTTGAAGATTCATAAAAGCCCGCATTCCCGAGAGAATTCCTTAATCTCTAACTATTTAACTTACTTCGTCATAAAAAATTCCTTATCTTTCTCTTAAAAACTATTTTAACTTCATTCATAACAATTTCCTATAAAGAGTTTGAAGTTAATATTCCTGGAATATATTTTACTCCTGAAATATATTCTACTCCTGGAATATATTCTACAGGTTTTAAGCTAAAAAATTACTTTTAACCCTACTTTTTCTGACTACAATAGTTTTGATTCTTTTTAATATTTTGTAGTTTGCATTAAAGCAACATTCAAAAACTTCTTATTTGTTTTGTAATTACAAAAGTCTTTTAATTGTCTACATACGTTAATGTTAGATTAATTTTGCAAATTGTTCTTGTATTTTAAATGCTATTATTAAATTGCAATTCAAAGTTTTCTCATATTTACTTAATTTATAGGCAGAATTTGTACTTTCTTGAATTTAATTGGGGGCTTTTGAATTCAATTAAGATATTTTTATTATTACACTCAATACGGGACTTTAGTTTTTGTTGTTACATTGCTTTATGATGATGATTAAAATTCCATTATTCCGAATTATGGAATTTGTTTACATACGCATTTAAAACATTTTTAAAGTTTCAAATTATTCTTTGTAACACATTTTTCTATTTTTGACTTCCCTTTCGTTTTGGGTTTGCTCTATATTCTACTTAAATTTGGGCAAAACGCTTATGCGACTTCTGCGTGTAGGAATTCAACTGACAAATGCACACATTGAAACTTATGTCATTGTACGTCACACTCTTTTCAAACTGAATCACGAGACGCCCAAGTTCGACTTGAGTGTCGACTCTTGACTTCCTGCAGCTGTCATAAAAGTTATACTGCATCATATTTTTAAAAATTGCAGAATATCCCCTAACTAATATTTTTTTATCATTTTTGTTTCAAAAGAAGGCGAAGAGTTTGCTGTATGATCTGGTGAACATTTCAAATCTTAATACCAGATACATTTTTAACTGTTAAAATTTTAAAATAATGGACGACAGGTAGCCGAAAAAATCGAATAATATTTTGAATTCAGCAAGAAATCAGAAATTATGTTTTTCATTTAAAACGATTTTTTTCCCTTTTTATCCGATGGTGCAAATGACAAAATTCCAAAATATTTTATTTGTTAAACGAAGATATGAGTGAAAAATCGAAACTCTGTTTAATTCGACTTAAAAATCGAATTAAACTGAAAAAAAAAAATCTCGCTTTAACACATTATAATGTCATCAACAAATAGTGTACGCGTGCTAAGTTCGAGCTTGTCAGGAAATAGCTTTAAAATCGATGACAAATTTCTGGCCATGGCCATAAGTATCATGAATGAACTAAATAAAAGATTATAATAATTGTCGTGCTTGTCGGGATGGCAGAAACGTTAAACAGTACGTGACTGAAAATTTAGCATTTTATTATCTAGAAGCACGACTTTTATGTACAAAATATTTACATGTTGATAGAGTATGATTTAAGAAAATATCCAAGGATTATTCGTTTAAACTCAGGTGTTCTTAACACCTACAAAACTGAACCAGCCACTCTGGCTAAGCTCAAAATTCAAAATCAGGCGCGAAAGACCTACCAAAATTCTGCAGACAACTCTCGTCTGCCACTCACTCTGTCTCACCTGCTCGCCACGATAAAGAGTTTAGAGTTTATGGTTCTCGCCACGATAGGAGACAGCTGATTGGCTGACCGCAGAGAGGTACATAACAGTAATAATTACAAAATATTAAAAAGTTTTTATAAAATAAGCTGTCATTTAAATCATCAAATAATTACTGGACTATAAGGATAAAACTAATTTATCATATAGTTTAATGGGAACAAGAGATTAAATTATTCTCTTTAGAGTAATTCGTCTTTAACTTTATATCACGAATACTTCCTAAAACGATGTCTTTAATTATTGAAATTCACATTCAAATCTCATTTACCAAACTTTAATGACTCGTAGTAACTTACAGCGCAACCAGGTAAATTGCAAAGTAAAATTGCAGAGTAAACTGCAAAATTTTGCATGCATTGGTTTGAAATAGAACTTTCATAAAACATTCTCATTCTATAAACCCACTATAACTTTTACTTCCAGAGATTTATATTAGCAATTTTCAGATATAAGTTTATTAGATGAGAAGAAGTAGTATAGGTAAACAACGCATAACTGAGAATGTAATTCTATAGTATCATAGTACATAGTAACATAAATAAAATTAATTAACCCGCAGTTCAAAAAGCATTGTGGTGTAGCATATATTTTAAATTGGTACTCAGCCATAAACCAATAAATTGTTATATTGCGATTATGTCATAGCATGAGATCAAGATTTACAAGTAAATGGATGGTATTTTGATGCATTTTCAACGTTTTTCTGTGAAGAAATTTTTTAATTTCGAAAAGGCACCTTGTGGAGGGTTAAAATTATTTAAATGTGAAAAATGATCCAACATATTGTAATATAAATTAGATAGTAAGATTATAGAGATTTATTTAAGTTTGCTAATAGTTAATTTTTAGTTAAAGCAACTTTCCTTTCGGTGTCATTTCACCTACGCTTTCCTGCCAGAATGTTAATAAGCTAGCGAGCGTGTATTAAAATGAGGTAGAAAGAAGTGCTATTCAAGGGAAGGTTTCGGAATGTGATTTTTGAAGCGTCTTATGCCTGCTTGAAGGCCATGTTGCTAAGCGATTAGACTTCTGTGGCAATGAGTGCGCCTAGCCATTTGAGGCTTGTTTTCTGCCGTTTTCTACGAGTCAGAGCCTTCCTGAGCGTTAAATTATTCTGTCAGCCGTTAGCCTAGGTTTGGTACATTATATTTTAAGTTCATCAATATCTGTTTTGAATTAAGTCTGGATTCGTATAAGCCCAAGTGGGACCATTTGGACCTGGGGATAATTCGTCATTCAGTCTTTTAGAGCTCGTTAATTTATGCTTCCAAAGAGAACAAGAGTCCAGGATATTCGAAGAAATATTTAATATTTAAGAAGTTTCTGTAAATTTCCTAAAATTCACAAAGAGTTCTGAAGATAAAACTCGCACCTAAGACAATGACTTTATGAGATCTTACTCTGAGACAAAATGATGCTTGTAATTCTTAACTTTTTTCCTTGTATCATCAGTATAACAAAAATTGTTTTGCTAGATCTTGTCTTTCACAATATTGCCTTTTTAATGACCAGCAGTGCATTTCTTAATCTATTACTGATTATTATAATTAATCTATTACTTAATATGATTAATTTTAGTTAACAGTTGAATCCATTGTACAAGCACTAGGTCATGGTGAGCTGCCAGACCCTATAAATATAAGAAAAATTTGAAAGAATTGGAAGATCTGTTCTTTACACAAATTTGGTTTAAAATTACACAGTATATTATTAAAAAGAGCGCGCCTTAATTATCTCGGTTAAATCAAACATGACCTACGAATGTCAAAAGTTGCTACATTACTAGTTTAACGTTTCATAATTAGTCCAAAGGGATTTGAATCCCGAAGGACTATTAGTTTCGTTTTGGCATTTTGCGTCGGACTCATTAATGTCGGTTCACTTTTCAAACTGTTGCCACAAAATGTTAGAGTCCTGCATTATATTTGAAGAAATTAAATAATAAAAAATCTGCATAAATGTATGTATATTTCTCGTATTGTGATAAAACAACGGTACATAGAGTCATCGAATTTTGAATAACGTAATCCTCCAACGAATATGAGCATGTGGAAGACCAAATTTGAAATTTGAAATTTTTGTTTTATGATCGATTTCCTATTTTTTAAAACTTTGACGAATTTTTGATTAACAAACTCAAGGATTTCAAAGCGAGCAATGGCAACGTTGTGCAGAAAAAACATTTTTATCTCCAGCGCGTGAGTCTCTGTATCGGAAATTCTAAAGATATGCTCGTTTTAAAACTATTTTGCGATATTGCTGTTGCACTGGATCCTATGGTTTAAGTGCGAGGAACATGATATTTAATAAAGAAAGGTAACACACAAAATATTAAAAAACGCCCCTTTGGACGTAATTTAAAATCTGAAACATTTCAGTTTTTTTTTTTTTTTTTTTTTTTTTTTTTATTAATGAAGTTACCTTTGGTGAATTCTTGTAGTGTTCCTCGCCCCTTGTCTGTGGTGAAACGTCAAGTAACCGTGTGAACTACGTAGCGACTTATCGCTGAGTTCAGAACAACTTAGACATAGACCCGAGAAGGGTTAAATTACCGTTTTATTCAGTCAAATAAGAATAACAGTTGGCCCCTTTTCGGGCTTACAGGAGAGCCTCTACTCGGGCTTTTAACTCAGAAATAAGGTTTAAACTAAAATTAACTAAAACGAGACTTAGCCGAAGCTAGACACAATTACCTAACGTAGTTGGCCCTTAAACTAAACTAGCGGTGAATATCACTAGGCACGTATAACACAGCTGAGCGTAACAGCTTCAAGAGTGACTTAGCCAGAAGGCAAATGCGCGCCACTAAGGACTCCTAGCACTCTCTATCGAAATATGCTGAACCTTCCTTTAAATACTTCTTCTAACTCATTTGCATTCAACGGAATTCCGAAAACTCATTCTGGTAGGGAGTAGTAAGTGGAAACAAGAATTAAAAGGTTTTTTTAAATTAAAATAACTGTTATAAAATTAAAATATACCTTACATACTGTTAAAAAATGATATCACTCGCAAATATTGGACTCCAGCAGCCATCTCCTGCTTACAAATCATCGGGTACTTATGAGGAGAACTCAAGCTAGAAATTCAAATGTAAAACTAAATCTAGATATCTAATAGTTAAAGACTACGCAGAGTAAATTAATCGCGAAGTTGGCTCTAAGACACCGGCGTGAAATTACTGTAGACAAGTATAATGCATTGCTGAAGGCAGGATCTTAGATTAGTAATCCTAGCAAAGTGGCCTTTAATATGCAGAACATACTCTGACTTCCCAATCTTAAACCTCCACTTAAATACACGCGAGCTAATTTCCATTCTTGCGAGAAAACGGAAAGAGGTAACTCACAGTAAAGCTTCTGGATATGAAATAACTGGTTAAGAAATTTAAATAAACCTTACAACTAGTATACACTGTTTCATGTACGCAAAACTCCCCCTGAACACTGCATGAAGATGATCATTCCTTACGATAACCAGTGGACTTACCTCGCCAGAATGAATATTTGGGGTTGATGAATTAGCTTCTGTGTTCTTTGAGTGCAGATATAGAAAGAATTTCCATCGTTGAACCTACGCTCAAAATAAGCCAACATCTTTTTATCCCATAGCGCATTAGCCCAGAAGGCCTATTCGTCTCGAAATGGTATTTTGCGTCTGTTCACTATAAATGTCGGTTTCACTTTTAAAATCGTTGCCACCAAATATTATCACCACCGTTCTCTTTTGTAGACAGTCACAGGAACATGGAATTAATTATGATTCCCTGAAGTTAAAGTAATATCAGCTATAAGCCAGTTTTGCATCATCTGCAAGATGCCTCCACATCACTGAGGCATTTTGCAGTGATTACAAAATTTTGCAGTTGATGCATTTTGCATTTCAGTGATGTTGATGCAACAATGCCTGAGTTCATCTGATTTTGCATGTTCCAGAAGATGCAAAACTAGATGGATTCAGTGATGTTGACGCATTGTTTTAGTGGAGGGTCTCTCTAGGTTTCTACTGCCTTGAATTGCTATGAATTCAGCACAGCCAGTGCAAAGTTCTGTTTCTCCTTATATGCAGAATATATGTTCTATTTTATCATTTTCTTAAATTTGCTTGAAAATTTTCTATATCTAATGATCGTGTGTATTAGAAATTAAAGTTTTAAATACATCATAAAAGAATACATAGTTTACTGTAATTTGCGCAAAATGATTTCGAATTTTTACTTTGATCTTATAATTGCAGCTCAAGGTGGCTTGCTAGTGACCATCTTTTACTGGATTTTAGAAAAAGGTTTCAGACTTGCACGTTTCTTATTACATCTCTTTCTGACGCTGATCTATCAAGGCAAAGGAAAACAAGTATCACCTATCCGCAATGAACTTATTCTCACTTCGGCCACGAAACTTGCTCAGAAAATACGAGAAGGAAAAGTATGTTTTACAATCCATTTATACCATTTTATATAAAACAGAACATAATCAGCCGAAAATTACTATAAATACAAAAGTGAAAAAATACCGTAAGGGAAGAATATAAAGAGTACAGCTATAGACCGTTTTTTAAGCTTATTTTGGATTTAAAGTTTAATATGAACTAGTATTATACTAAGAACAATAGGAAGGCGTGCGCATGTTCTTAAGAATCAATGACAGAGAAATTTTGCGAACAGGAGCTTAATAGTAGTGCTTTTAAAGCAAACTAACCGATACTTACAGTATTTCTGTAATATTTTCCTTCCCTCCGTCCAAGTCTCTAAGTCCATCAGCAGTTCGGGCCCACCAGCGGCCGAGCGGTAAAGACGCTGAACACTGGTAGTTCGGTCCAAGTTTCGAATCCCGCGAACGGGCTGGCTGCATGGGCGTTTTCGTGGTTTTTTCCCCATGTGTAACGTGTATACAAGCCAGTTTCCCTTAGAAAGTCCTCCACGAAGGCATCCCTCTCTTTAGGCAGATAGCCCTTTGCCATAATTGAATACCCCCCCCCATCAGCAGTTTAGCGGACAAAGATTAGGGCTAAACATTAGTAGTGCGATGTGGGTTCAAATCCCGAAGAAAGCTACAGCTGTGTGGTATTTTTGCAGTTTAACGCTTGTGTTACATGTATATGAAATAGTTTCCGTCGAAAACGTCCAGAGCGAAAACACCACTCATCTCAGGATATGCTCATCCTAATGAATGTAAGCTCATCCTAATGAGCATATAATTCTGCTCATTAGGATTCCAGTTATGCTCATTAGGAGATAAATTTTAGCTTTAATGAACTGTAATTCATTTTAAATGAATAATTTAAGCATTTCGATAGAATCTAACATGAATTTGTCTTTTTCAAGGTAAGCCTTTTAAAGAAAAACAGTCCTGCATTTCGCTAAAATTAATTCCAGGCTATGGCTGATTTTGGTTTTAATTTGACAATTCAAGTTTAAAATGATTCGCTTATGTACAAGTGGTTAGGCGCAAAGATAACATCCCCACACACACAGACAATCAGTGGCATAATTTTCCCAATAACTAATATGTGTGTTATGTTTTAATGTGGTTATGTTTATATGTGTATTATGTTTATGTAAAACTGAAAACAAGATATTACTATCGAGCAAGCCCACCAGATGAGCGGGCTATGGCCAAAGCAATATTTATAAGTTCTAAATATTGAAAAATTGAAAATAAAATGAACTATTAATTTAATGTACTATATACAGAGTTGTTAGCAGTGACAAAAGTAAAATTTATGAGTTCTGTGCATACCTGAAAAGAGAGTGCATAAAAACATTTCAATATGAATGAAGTCGGTTCATTCTTTCCCAACCAACAATCAATTCGCAAGTAAATTTTTTGTTGCCAAACCAGAAAAGAAAAACTTCGGACACTTCAGGTTACATATAGGTATAACGTTATGATTTAAATTTAATATAATATAACAACTTTTTCTCAATATCAATAAAAGATCTAATGTGGTATGGCCTATAACATATCGTGTTAATTACTTTAATCTGAAACCAAAAAGTTACCAACAGCAGCTTTTATTTAAAGTGCTGATATTAATAAAAGATTTTCGACATATAATGACGTCACATCAAAGAGTGTGCCTTCTTCAACGTCAGAACATGACCTTATATAGTAATAATATATTCAATGTTTGGCAATGCCATTTTTATTTCATACTTTATAAAATTTACGAATGTTTTATCAAGAAACTTTATGATTTGAAAGAGAGCAGTGGCAACACTTTTAGAAATAAAGCAGATTTTTATCTCCAGTGTACGAGACTGTTGCCACTCAGCAAAATAAAGGCAAAAATTTGCGTTTTCAGAGTTTTTAATTAAGACCTCGGCTGATTAAAGTCGTAGGAAGATGAGAATGGTCGAAATGGCTTCCCACGAATTTTTGGAATCCGGGAGTACCTCTCGCGAAACTCAACTCCCCGCCGTTCTGAATGGAATAGTGCCAGAAATAAACAGACAGATGCGCACAGATTTTAATGGTATAGACGTTAAGGTAACCAAGGTAAGAGGTACCATAAATGCAGGTACTTTCTTTAATTGTTAGCCAATTCCAATTCAATGCTTTGTAATAATTAATCAACCGGTTGAGTTTAAAGAGAAAGAATACAATAAAGTGAAAAGAAAATAAGTTTAATATTGACTCCAGAAAAATTCATCAAATGATCTAAGTTATGAGGATTTAATTTATTCAAATTTTGGCACTAAAATCCAGTATCCACCAAATATACTTTCAATGTCAATTAAATTTACAGCAAAATTTTCTACTCTCCAGATAAAATGCGAAGATGTCATACAAGCATATATAGACAGGATTCTAGAAGTGGAGCCTGTCATCAATGCTACAGTACAGCGAAGGTTTTCTGAGGCTTTAAAAGAAGCTAGAGATGTGGATGCTCTTGTTGCCTCTGGAAAATTTACGAAAGAACAACTGGCTGAACAAAAACCTCTGTTGGGGGTCCCATTAAGTGTAAAGGTATTTCTCACGGTAAAAGGTGAGTAAGAACAACTGTTTTACTAAAAGTACATCCTGTAACGGAAATTTTATAATTTCAAGCTAAAATAACGGGCTAGGTGCATGGGTGTTTTCGTGGTTTTCCCCATGTGTAATATATGCACTACTCAATTTCCCTTAAAAAATCCTTCACGAAGGCATCCCTCTCCTTTTGGCAGATAGCCCTAGAGTGCTTTGCCATAATTAAACAAACCAAACCAAATCTGAGCTAGACAATTAAATGAAAATCAAACTGAGGCAGAGAATTCAGGTTAAGAGCTATATCAGGTTCAAACTGGTGGAGGTAAATGAATACGCCTTACAGATTAACTGTCATTTTGTTGACACATTAGGTTATTTCGGAGCAGGAGAGATGAAAAACGAGCAACGCCAACCACGGACCTCTGGAATATGCGCCCAGCGTGCAGACCACTACACCACGAAAGCGCGCTAAGAAGGCGGGAGAAATACCTTTTATACTCCCCCTTTTAAAGGGCGACTGGATTTTTTAGGGACTGTGATGACTTCGTGGTTTAATAAGGCACCATTTAGCAAGACGAAACAAACATTTATTAAATATATAATTCAAAGCATAATATAATAGTTACTCAGAGCAGTACGTCGCTCCTACCGCATAGTACAAAATCTACTACCTTCCTCTTCCGAGGCTAACATGCAACTCCTAATAAATACATTAACCCTTCTCGAAGAAGAGCTACCCGCGCCAAGCATGCTCTGTTGATCGCCAAACAGTCCGCCAGATATCTACACCCCCGTCGTAAGATTGTTGTTGATATTATTTACAAATCAATCATCAATCAATCTGGAAACTAAAATCTAGCAACTGTTTGCGATCAATGAGGAAAAAGAAAAAAAAACTACATATAAATTTATACATTCTACCCTAATAATCAAATCTCAACTACTACAGACATTTGCAATGCAATACCTACAATTACGCATCAATTTACTACATAAACATATATAAACATAGATAACACATTTTATCTTCATTCCACTGGTTCCAAATGCAACTATTATTATTGTAACAATTTCTCAATTTTTTAACCCAAAGAAACCTAAGTTGATATTTTTCTTTTATAAACATGTTAAAATATACCCTAGTATTATTCCAATGATGACAGTAAAATTATTAAGTTTCTATATATATATAAAATTATATTCTTAGCATTCCTTTTAATTAATGATGCTGCAGCATGATTTAAATCCTTGGGAGACAAATATCTAAATTTACCACTTACCTCGAATATTTGTTATCCAATAATTTCTCTATCTATTTCAAATTACATAAACATCTTATTTGCACAAAATTGTAAAATGAATTATGAAAAGCAAAGAAAACTATCTAATTATTAACTATACAAAATGTTCGTGAAGATGAACAGTAAATTAATGTTCAAAGTTCAAAAGTGGGAAGTCTGGATAATGCATCCGCGTTTGACAGTTTTTTTTCCAGGGCAATGTTCTATTTCGAGATTATATTTCTGCAAAGCTATGGACCCATCATTGTAATTTGGACAATTGCGGAGCATTTCTCACTATAAAGGCTAGAGGATTAGGATCAGTCACAATTTTCACCGATATGAACTGAATATCCAAGGTTCAAACTTCTTCAATGCCCATACTATAGCATAAGCATCATGCTCTATGGTCGGCCAGCTTCTGTTGAGGTTTCGATAATTTCTTGCTCGCGTAGCAGATGGGAAATTGTTTCTCTCCCCTTTGCTGTGATAAACATGCACCTATTCCGATTTGGGATGCATCAGAATGAATGACAAACGGATCCTGTATGTAGTGTTGGGGTGATCAGCTCCGTTGACATCGCTAATCGTTCCTTCAGTTGTTGAAATGTTGACTCAGGAATTTCTTTCCATTCGAGTATTTTCCGGTTGTTTATTTTTCGTGAGTTTCTGTTGAGTGGGTAGGCGATCTCTGCATACCCTGGGATATAATCGCGATAATAATTACATAAGTCCTAACAGACTTTTAAGATCTCTTTTTCGTTTTCAGCGTTTCCAGCTTCTTGAATTGTCTCTATTTTCTCGGGATCTGGTTGATGTTTTCCTGATTCCAATAATGTGTCCTAAATATTTAATTTGAGGATTTTGCAAACGACATTTCTTCGAATTGATAGTAAATCCAAGTGACTCTAGTTTGGTAAAACTTTATCCAGATGTCGGAGATGAGTGTCGAAATCCGTGGAAAATATAGCTATGTCATCAATATAGGCTCTTGAAAATTGTTGAAATTCTTTCAGCGCGTTATTCATTACTCTCTGAAAAGTTGCTGCTGCGTTCCTTAATCCAAAGGGTATAGCACTTTAAACTGATATTGACCTCGATGAGTTTTGAACGATGTGTACTCTTTACTTTGTTCCTCCATGGGAATTGCCCAATATCCTTTCAGCAAATCTAAAGTTGTTATGACGTTGGCTCTTCCTATACTGTACATTAAATCAATGGCATTTTGCATAGGAAAGTCATCTGGCTTCGTCACTGCATTCAAAGCTCGATAATCTAAGCACAATCTGAATCTCCATTTTTTTTGCTTACACAAACTACTGGATGAGCTATTTCTGCATTACTTTCTTCTATTAGTCCCGATTTCAATAATTCTTCTACTTCTTCATCGACCTTGGGTTTCAATGCTTCAGGAATCCTATAAATGTAAGGTTTCTTCCTCTTCCATATTGGGTATTAATCTAATTTTATGAGCTTTCAACTTTAGCTATTTTCAGCTTTCCGGTGAATAGTGCTCGGTGTTTATTGATAAGAGCGATCAATTTTCTTCTTCTGCTGCGGATTCAAATTTTCTAAATTCAGATTTGCATCTATTTTAAAATCTTCCCGGGGCGGGGGTCGAGAGATCTTTTCCTGGTAAAGTTATAATTTCTCCCAAATTCTTCCTTCATTTTAAAATATCACTCCAACTGCATTGACACTAGCTTGGAATTTTCTAATTTTATTTGCATGAACATGTTTGATCTTTCCATCAGGTAGTTTTACTTTATAGGAATGAGGTGGGCAATGATTCACGATTTCTCCTGGACCAGTCCATCGTGCATATAATTTGTTATTTGAATCTGGTATGAGTAAATAAACTTGTTCTCCGATTTTGAAATTTTTTTGGTATTGATCTCCGATTAAAGTACTCAGCATATTTTTGTTGTTTATCACTTGCAATTAAATTGGCTTGTTCGGCTGCTTGTTCTAAACCTTATTTTTAAAAGCTGTAAGTAATCCACTGCCGATTCATTTAGATTAGGTGGTATAGGTATTTTCTCCTGACCATGAAGACTTCAGTACTGCTAAAGGACCTCTTGGTTGTCTTCCATACATCAGCTGAAATGGTGAGACACCCGTGGTGCAGTTTGGTACTTCTCTGTATGCAAAGAGCAGGTATGGGATGTGCTTATCCCATTCGAAGGATCAGTCCTGATGACATGATGTAACATTGCTTGAAGGACTTGTTCCATCTTTCTACTAATCCATTTGAAGCACTGTAAGCAGGTGTAGAGAACCTAGGGTAAGAACCTAGTCTTTTCTGGAATTCTTTAGTTAATTTTGAAACGAAGTTACTTCCGTCGTCACTAGCTATTGTATTAGGGATTCCTGTTCTCATGAAAATCTCCAAAAGCGCGTCGCAAGTGGCTTTTGCTGTCAAGCTTCTCAGTGGAATGGCTTATGGCCATCGGGAATGTTGATCTACCAGACATAACACATATTTATGTTTCCTAGCAGAGGAAGGTTCAATAGGTCCAATAAGTCGATGTTAACTGTTTTTTTGGAAAGGTAAACCGGTGGGATGGGAATTCTGTTTGCACCGGTTTGTGATGGGAATCTGTCAGATCTTTCTGGACTTTCAACTGGATCTTTGCACGTTTTACAAAAGGTTTCAACATCTTGTGCTAATCCAGGCCAATAAAATGAATATCGTATTCGCTCCTTTTTTTCTTATCCCAAGATGTGCACGAAAATGGAACTATGTGCTAATTCCAACATTGTGCTCTTCTACTAAGTGGAAGCACTAACTGAAAAACATTCTGTCCTAATATTTTTTCTTGGTGATGTAAAAGATTGATCAATAAATAAATAATTTCCCTTTTTTTTTTCTACAGCTAAGCTTCCATGCTTCTCTCAGCGAGGGACAGTTAAGCTTGCTCTTCGCGTAGGCGTTCAGCAGACGACAAGTCTGTGTTTACATAAAGCACTCGCCTTCTCCCCTTCCTCCTCTTCGTTTTTCTCCTCCATAAGCATTAGCCGGGGGGAACTCGACGCTGTCGTTTGACTGTGCATTGGCGAATAAAGTTTGTAAGTTTTCGCTTCCGTAATTATTTCATTTCTGCGTTTGGTTCTTCTGCCGCAGGATTAATCAACAGTTCGTATATTTCTGGGGAGTTATTAGGCAAGGCACATTTAGCTTATCAGTCACTGCAATTAATGTATCCACAAAATTAAATATATTGCTTCCATGATCTTTATGGTAAATAGGTACACGGCAAACTTTTGCTTCAATTGGTTGTCCGAAAGCAGGTGTTAGCAATATTTTACCTCCTTCTCTCTCCTCTAAATTTGGAATGAGCGATGAATGTACGATCGTTATCTGCGTTCCAGAGTCTACGATAGCTTCGATTTTCTCAGAGTTAATAAAAATATCTACTTTTTGCAGTGGTTGAACGATGCGTTCTGCGAATTCAGATCGTAGATGGGATGAGTCTACTTTAGCTACGATGGCTTCTTCTTTTGATGTTCTGTTTGAATTTTTTTGAGTTTTGGAATCATCCTTTCCCTTCTTATTTACTGCAGTTTCGTTCTTTCTTCTTTTGTCTGGGCAATCTCTTGCGATGTGTTGATAGCTTCCACAAATATAACATTCTTTTCTTCTCGCGTGAGATCCTTCTTGTTTTGAATATTCTTTTCTCATGTGTGGCGGAATATATTTATCTTGTGTACATGTTGTATCCAGGAATCTCGGTGATCGTTTAATTCCATTTCGGACTTCGTCGAAAGATTTTCCTTTGGCCGTGAAATAAATATCACATTCTTTAGCTAATTCTTGAGGCTTCAAGCCATTTATTTCCTTGGCGTATTGCGACGTGTGCAGCTGTCTCTTCATCTAAATGCTTGGAATAATTTATCCGGAAATAATTAACTCCTTGAAGTGTTTCGAAATCCTTTACTTCTCTTGACTTGCAGTAATAGTCCCATGTAGCTGTTAGTCTTGAAGCGAACTGGATATGCGTTTCGCCGGAATAACGTTTAGTTTTTTTCTGAAGTTTTCTAAACAGGTTTGAGGAGTAGGTTGATATTCCTTCAGAACAAGAGTTTTCACTTTTTCGTAATTTTGCAGATCTTCCTCCTTTATATAAACAAGAACATTTGAAGCTTTTTCTCCAATTAATTTCAATAATATTTCTGATTTGTATTCTTCAGGAACCTTCTTGTGCTTAAATGCTCTTTCGATAGAATCGAAAAATATATTCCATTCTTCTGCTCTCTTCGGTACTGGTATAGTCAGTGTTTCTACTCCTTTGATCAGCTTGTCCAGGGAAATTTCGGTTTCTCGTTCTGTGTGTTTTGGATTAAAGGTGTTGGACTTCTACTTCCTTCATTTTGAGTTGCTCGAATCTTCGCTAGTTCTATTTCGTGTTCTCTTTCTGTTCTTATTCTTTCTTCTTCCATTTGCATTCTTTCCATTCTTCTTCTTTTCTTTTCTATTCTCCACTGTAGTAATCAGAATTTCTTTCACGAAATCAGCATCTTCGATGTATTCCTTGCTATTCTGGAGTTTGTGTGTTCAGTTCTACCAGCTTCAAATCTGGGGATGCTTCTTCGCCAATTTCCAATAGAACTGTTACTAAATCCTCTTTCTTTGCGTTTTTGAACATTTTCTTCTATTTTCCTTTAGAATCAAGCCTTTCAAACTCTCGATTAAAATAATTCTCACGTTTTCTACTCTCTTTTGCAAATGAACACTTCTTTCGTTAGTTAGTTAGGCTTAACATTACGACGCCTCTTCCGTTTTCAACGCTCTTTAAGCTTCTAACCTCTCTGGTTTTCTCGAAAGAGAGCGTGTTGTGATGACTTCGTGGTTTAATAAGGCACCATTTAGCAAGACGAAACAAACATTTATTAAATATATAATTCAAAGCATAATATAATAGTTACTCAGAGCAGTACGTCGCTCCCACCGCATAGTACAATCTACTACCTTCCTCTTCCGAGGCTAACATGCAACTCCTAATAAATACATTAACCCTTCTCGAAGAAGAGCTACCCGCGCCAAGCATGCTCTGTTGATCGCCAAACAGTCGCCAGATATCACAGGGACCCAATCGCCAAATCCTGGTGGCGGAGAATCGTGATTCACCACTGTTTTGTATTAGCTGAGAAATGCTTGGCGCCAGAGTGGAATGTTGGCTAATGGCGCATGCGCCGCCGGAATTGGCATTGAAATGTATTCTGTGAGAAACTTGATTTTGTGGTACATTAGAAGTTGCGATTTATATGTTACTCTGTAAGGTGGAACCTAGCGCCTGAGTGTCGCTATGGAAAATAAAGGTATTTAAACTGTGTAATGGAGTTATTTTATTACGATATACAGCTATCGATGGGAAATAGAATTAAGTCAATTCAAGTTTTGTGGTCCGTCGAGCCGGAGTCGAACCAGCGACCTATGGATAACAGGCTGTACTGTAACGTTTTTTAGCTCGGACGCCACTGTAGAGACATTCGATTACTGAGCAGGAGAGATGAAAAATGAGCAACGTTCTTGCCGGGAATCGAACCACGGATCTCTGGAATACACGCCCAGCGTGCACACCACTACACCACGAAGGCACGCTAAGAAGACGGGAGAAATACGTTATAAATTTACTAAAATATTGTAGTTCAGGCAGCTAAAGGCATATATATATTTTAAACGTTAAATTCTCTTCCTCCATATTTCAGAAAAACTTTACTTTACTACTTTACGGACAGGCACAGTACAGCCTTGAAACCCTTTCGGCAATTTCACCTATGTGATATATTTAATGTCAAATGACAAATGCAGTTCTTTTGAAGCTTTAGTCAAATTCTCAATTTAGCATCTCTCACGGTGATCAAGTGCCCTTGTTCAGAATTAATTCTAATGAGATATAAATTCTTTACTTAGGCTTGAAAAGTACAGCATCGTCTAAACTCTTCAAAGACGTTAAAGCCACAGAAGATGCCCCAACAGTGGCCGCAATGAAGAGCGCAGGTGCTATCATTTTGGCAACCACAAATACTCCCGAGATGGGTCTAAATTTAGAGAGCGCTAACAAACTTTGTGGCAGAACTTACAACCCCTATGATACTAGTAGAACCAGTGGAGGAAGTAGTGGTAAGCAGATCAAATTGTTAGGAATTTTTTAATTCCTTGCAGGAGGACAGAGCATTGTCTAAATATAATGTATATTTATTATAGGCGGCGAAAGTGCTCTAATCAGCGCAGGTGGTTCCGTCATTGGCTTGGGAAACGATCTGATAGGTAGTATCAGAATACCCTCTCTTTTCACAGGACTTTTTGGGCATAAGCCGAGCAGAGGTAATTGTGCAACATTTGTAATATACATTATTGATAAAGGCAACTCATTTCTGTATATTAAAATAAAGTCATGAAAATAGCAGAATTCCTTCGATACGTTTTCACTAAATCTTACAATAAATTTGTCAAAATTAATTCTGTCGCTCATTGGTTTTCATTTTCAATGGTTTCATTACATTGATCATAAACATTGATTTTCATAAGGTTTTCAAAAAAAGGTTAGCAGTTTAGCCAAACTGCTAACCTTTTTTTACGTAAAGTTATTGAAATGATGGTTTTGAATTTAATTAATTTAAAGCAGATTTTTTATGTGAAGGATGATTTGAGAGGTCAAAGCACACGTTTTTTGATATATTTATTTTGAAAGGAGATAATGGCTTATGATGTTGATTAAGCGGATTGCCAGTGGTCCATCATTGCTGAATTTTAAGTCATCAGCGTGAACTTGACGAAAATGATCGAAAGAGCTCCATTCCATATTTGTATGAGATAAGTTTTAGTGGGATCTATCGATAATGGATTAAAATCACAGCATTGCCTATGATTTTCTTTGCTGATTTTATCATTCAGAGAAAAAGGTATTTTCATAAGGCCTAAAAATTGAGAAATTAAATTTTCGCTCTTCAAGAAAAGGAAAAAAGTTTAAAAAAGTACTAAAATTGGTGCAACTTTATACAAATAATTATTTAAAAATACAAATTTTAAAAATAAACCCTAAAAAATGGGCAAATTTTATTTGAAAAGAACCTAAATTTCAAAATGTGAAAGGAAGTATCAAGTAAGTTAATAAAAAGAGGTATTAATAAATATATATTAAATTCAATTAACATTGAGTAGAGTTTTGAGAGTTAATTTTTTAAAAACTACTCTTACGATTTTTACAAAACTTGGCAGTTTGGCATAATTTGAGTCATAGAATCGAAATATGGAAAATTGGCATGTCATTTTGTTTATTTATTTACCATCAGATGAGCAGCTGCAGCGCCTTTAAGACATTCAGCTTTTATGCTCAACTGATGGAATCATCTACCAACTGTGTTGTTATATATAAAATACAATATAGTTTTAGAATTTTGATGATTACATAATAAAAATTAAATATCACGAAATAAATATATAAATACATAAATAGGTAACAGTGAAATAATAAAATAATAAGATCATACTTAGTGCGGCGGGATTACACCTGTACAACCAATTGTGAAATTCTTGTGCCCCTATCCACCTCTACCTGTACTATATAATCTGCTCGACATTTAAAATGCAACACCAAGAAGAGTGGTCAGAAAGTGATGAAATTTTGAAAAAAAAGACAGAGACAGCAAGCACCAATAGGCGATCTTTATTTCAAAATGATAGTCAGAATACAGAGTGAGAACGGCGGCTCGTAGGAGAGGACCACCGTGGACAGCGATGTACGAAGAAACACGTCTAGGCATAGAGTCAATAAGAGTGCGGATGGTGTGCTGAGGGATGGCTCTCCATTCCCTTTCAACAATTTGCCACAGTTCGTCTTCTGAACGAGGCAGGGGCAGAGTCTGCAAACTGCGTCCAATCACATCCCACACATGTTCAATTGGTGACAGTCAGGAGAATAAGGTGGCCAGGGAAGCATCTGTATACCTTGCTGAGCATATTGGCAGATGCGAGCACTCTGTGGTCGGGCGTTATCCTTCTGAAAAATTGCATTAGGCAGCCCCTGAAGGTAGGGGATTGCTACCGGCTGCAGTACATTATCCAAGTATCATTGGGCCGTCATAGTGCCCAGAATACTAACTAGAGGTGCCCTGGAATCGTAGGCAATAGCGCCCCAAACCATTATGCCACGTTGTCGCGCGGTGGGGCGTTCCACAGTTACTGCCGGATTAGATCTGTCTCCACGTCGCCGCCACACACGTATGCGGCGACTGTCACTGGATAAACAGAAGCGTGACTAATCCGAGAACACGACGTTTCGCCATTCTGTCATCCACATCGCTCCAGTCCGGCACCATTCTAAACATTGGTGTCTATTCTGTGGGGTCAATGGCAGTCTTCTTAAGGGACACCGTGAGTGCAGGTCATGTTCAACCAATCGAAATAGTTCGGGTCAACGGGAAATCCAGGGTATTTGCTCATTCAGAATCGCGGTCAAATGACTTACGGGGACTGCCACAGCTTGTCGGCAGATGCGTCGACACGCGTGCTGACGTCATTCTGGGTACTCCTCCTTTCCCCATTTCCTTGTTCCAACCATGTTCGCCATAGCCGATGCACTGTGCTTGCATCCATGTGGGTATCAGCTGCGATTTGACGTAAGGACCAATGTGCTCTCCTCAGTCCGATCACCATACCCCTTGTAAAATCGTCTATCTGCTGGCAGTGCCTTCGTTGACGGCATCTAAAATCAACAACCCAAACTTTACAATCAGGTACTGTCAAGCATTTTAAATTCTGAAGTAATAAATATGCACCAATCAAAAAAAATTTTACGTTGGAAGACATGCTGTGGTAAAATGACAAGCAAAAGAAATGAATGTTATCTTTAAATTAACAACAAAAAAATCTTGACAAAAGAAAATACATAGTAAGTCCATGGCCATTCTCTCCTATTACACGTATCCTCTGGGACAAAAACCAAATTTCTTCAATAATTTGTCTGGCAGAAATAATGACACGAATACACGTTCTGCTTGTTCCTTTTCTTATATCTTACTTCATGTGCGTCGGAGAGCTGCGCATTTCACATCATTCGCATAACTCAGTGACGTCCGTCTACTCAAAAATTTGCATAAATTTCTGACCACTCCTTCTTGGCGTTGCATTTTCAATGTCGAGCAGTGTACATAACATAAATATCAGGTTTTAGATTTTCATTTTGATTTACGATGCACTTAGAAATACAACACAATGGATTTATGCGCAGATGTATCAAAAATAAAACCAAAACATAGTATTGAGCCTTATTTATTGAAATATTAGTTAGATAACTTAAAATTACAAATTTAGATGGAGCATATATAATGTGAACTGATCTCTTCCAGGTATGGTTTCTTCAGAGGGATGTTTTCCAGTACCTAATTCTAAACTTCTAAATTTAGTATCTACTGGTCCCATAAGCAGATATGCTGAAGATCTTGTGACAACCATGTCTGTACTCACAGCTCGCAAAGAAATGCTTATTAAATTTGGACAATCTGTAAGTTATTTTTTATTCTTGTTTTCTAATACCAGCTCACGCAAGAATTTTATTATTTTCTATTATAAGTTTAACCTTTCCTGCTAAAATTTCATCCAATAAATACGTAAACATTTTGACCAAGCAAACAGTTTAATAATTAAAAATTTAAATTATAAGTGTAAATATTCAACTGTGAGATATTTGAACTTTGTGATATTTAACTTTCGTTAAATATTTAACAAATCTAGTATTCAACTTTGAGGCAAATTTTTGTCCAACTTTTCCCATGAACTCAGAATACTACAACAGAACACAACAATAACGTATTACCAAATAACTAAAATTTATTATCAACTTTTGCTTGACATACAAAACAAATTAAACACAAATTTACTACCACTGCTTGTGGAAAATATACATTGTAGAGACCTTAGGTATTTTTTTGGGAACCGGAGAGATGAAAAATTAGCAATCGCCTTCACCGGGAATCGAACCACGGACCTCTGGAATACCGGCCCAACGGGCTGACCACTACACCCCGAAGGCATGCTAGTAAGGTGGCAAAAATACCTTATAACATCACGAAAAAGTCAAATTATATAGAAAACAAGTTAAATTTTCTCTTAAACTTGACTCGTTAAATTCACTGCGAAAAAAGAGAGAACTGAGGATCCTTCCAGTGACAACTATAAACACAGAGGAGTTCACTTTAGGGTGACGTTTACACATTATACTTTTAAAGAGAGTAAAGATTAAAGTTAAATATCCATTTCCCTAACTTAGATCATTAGCCTGTTTAAAATTCCTTCCTTTTGCATATTCTAGTAGAAGCAGATGAAACAGTAAGAAAATAGAACAAATTTTAACTTGAACAAAAACGATTTAATTAAAATAAACTTTACACCATATGTTCATATGCTCAGCAAAATACCTATAAGTCAAAGTTTACGAAAAAAGAAAAGAAAAGAAAAAAAAGAAAACTTATGGATCAGTAGCTTTAAACAGTTAATCTTTGTATTATATACTTTATGAAGACAAAGAGGGGATGAAGCGAGTTTTGAATTCTTGGAAAATGTAATAGAATTGCTCAATTTATAAATATTTTCTCCCTCTTTACTCCATGCTTTCGTGGCATAACTGAAAAGCACGTCCGGTTAGCAATAGAACTCGAGTCGAGAGAGAATACTGCACAATTTTTACGTCTCTTGCCCCGAAATAAAATGCATAACGATTAACGGACTCTGCAGCTTATTTACTGTAGCATAAATTTTAAATACACTGGTGTGCAAAACTTAAGCAACAATGTAAATTTTAATCAGCTACCCATGAAATTGCAAAAAAAAAAAGGGTTCTTGCGATCAGTACAATGAAGACGCAATTCAGTAGAAAGGTCATGCGTATGCAAATGTCAGGAACAAAAAGTCACAGGCGACGTGAGCGTACACAAAACGTGTGCGGTCGGTGCGCTCAACTCAAGACTACAAAATTAGGAAGGACGGAGACGCAATTAAAGACAATCGCTGCAAATACAAGTGAGTTCTTTCGTGAAATATGGTTAGAAGAAATCACCTGGATGAATTCACATGTGGAAGAATGAATGAAAAGCTTGAGGAGGGGCGAGGGGCGTAGTGTGACCAGTGTAGCTGAAGAGTTCGAAATTATTAAAACTGTCGTTTCGCGCGCTTGGAAAGCCGTCCAAATCATAGGTACAGCTGTTAGAAAGGTTATTGGTAGCCGCCCGCAGGTAAACAACAGCAGCAGATGACCGATATATCGCCCTGCAAAAGGCGAAAAGAGCCCGAAGCCAGTCAGCAAGCGCCATAAGTCAGCAATTGTATACAGCAACGGGGCGACAAGTGTCGGGGTTTACTGTGTCCAGACGCCTTCACAAAGGTGGCCTATTCACCCGCCGTCCTGAATGCAGCATCGCTTTGAAAGTTGTCCATCGGCGCCACCGTTTAGAGTGGTGCATCAATAGAGTTGTGTCCTCTTTAAGGATGAGAGTCGTTTTAGAGCCATAAGGACTCTCAATGCCAGTTGATTTGGATGGTGGGACACGGTTCATCTCAGTACATACGGAAGGACAGTCTGTGGCCTGGTCTCGTCTGGGGGGCATACTAGCCGTCAATCTCGGAACGCTGTCTGTTAGGGGCGTCATATACGAGGAGAAAAAAAGGAAGGTCCGGAATGTTCCAACGGAAGGCTCAGGTGCTGGGCACTTCAGCAGGCTCCTAGGCTGGGACAGCCATATCCTGTGCAGAATTCATTGTAAATAGGCATATCTTTCCTGGCATAACATATTGGAGAATATAATAGAGGAAGAATTTTTCCTCAAGAGAATTCAGTGGTTGTTGTATCATGGCATAGGTAAAGATAAGCAATTCCGAACGATAGTCAATTCATGAGCCTTGCGTACATACAAATCGTAAAGTCAGAACGTCCGTCAAGAGAGATAAGCGTAACAGTTACTGCTTCGACATCCGGCGCTCAAATGAGTGAGAAACAGGTAGCAGGGCAGGTCCATGGCTGGATGGGAGGAGCTACTGGTCATGTGATCCAATGGGAGTCCTGGAAAGAGAGTGCATTTTCTTGCTCGACAGGCATTGGTGGGGCAAATTTTAAAGTTTAAACTTGGTTGAAATCCTGAGTACATTTATTTGATATAATAAAAAGAAAGTTATCAAGATACAATACAATAATGAGAAGTAAAGGGATCCTGGACTGAAATAAGTTGGCCTAATTTTAATGCGTTCTGAACTAAGTATTAAAATAAGATATATTGTAACATACAAGGTGTTGGTGAAATGAATTAGTGATTCTTATTCTGAAAGACAGATGGCGACACATGAGCGTGTGCTTTTAAGAGTTGCATATGTACGGTGAGGTGAAGATTTGCAAACATAAAACAAATATAGAAATGCAAAAAGCAGTACTTAAAACAGTAGATAAAATTAAATTAAGTGCCGGAGAACTGCTCCGGTTTTTTTTTTGTTGTTAGCTTCGCTGGTATAATCATAATTTTAGTCTTGGGATGGAAGCTGTTGTTGATCTTTTCGATGTTGTTGAAGAATTTCCGTGCTATTTTTGCTATGTGTATGTATGCTAATGCTTTCAATATTTAATTCGTTCTGAATAGCCTCGTTCCTGAAGAACCAAGGGACTGTTGGATATAATCCTCAGCATAACATTTTGACTTTGCTGAATTTTCAGCATGTGAGTTTTGCACACATAACCCCAGACTGGGCAGGCATAGGTGATAATAGGTCGCAGCATGGATCTATATACATGAAGTTTGTTTTGTATAGATAAAACGGAGTTTCGGGCAATTAGGGGGTTGAGTAAAGCTTTAGTACCCCGAAACTTGTTCAAAACAAATGTTATGTGTGGGGCCCAAGTGAGTTTTTGGTCTAAAATGACACCGAGGTATTTGGCTTGCTTGGCCCAGGGAATGCTGATGTCGTACATTTTGAGGGTGATACTTAAGTCGAAAATCCTTTTCTTCGTGAAATAAACAGCTTCCGACTTTTCAACATTTATCTTGATTTTCCACTTAATCATCCAGGACTCTAATGCATGGATGTGTTCTTGTAGTGCCTGTACGACTGCGGCCATAGACGCAGCTTGGTAGAGGATCGCAGTGTCGTCTGCATAGAGTGCTAGTGTAGTGAGAGGGTTGTGAGGGATGTCGTCGTTCGTATAAATAGAAAATAATGTGGGCGAAAGTAAACTTCCTTGCGGTAAGCCCGCAAGGGTTACTTTCCGTGTAGAGTGAGTGTTGTTATAACGAACGACAAAGTGTCTATCGTATAGATAGGAATTAATGATGTTAATGATGATGTAATCTGGGAAACCCAGAGTGATTAGCTTGTATGTGAGGCCCTGTAACCATACACAATCAAAGGCTTTCGAAATATCGAGAAAGAGTGCTCCAGTGATGTGTCTTTTTTGGAATCCTTCAGCAATCATTTCTGTGACTCTGTACAATTGATGAGTTGTAGAGTGTTTGCTCCGGAATCCGTATTGCTGTGGGATGAGAATTTGATTTTCTTCGAGGAATTCTTGGATCCTATTTAAATGACTGCTTCAGCGATTTTGCTTAAGGTCGACAGTAAACTGATCGGCCTGTAGGAGGAGGAGGAAGCCAGCGTAGGGTCTTTTCCGGGTTTCAGGATCGGTGCGATGATTGCAGTTTTCCAATTGGTTGGAAAGTGATGTAGGCGGAGCATAGCGTTCAATAAGTTTTGGAGAATTTACATAACATTTTTGCTCCCATTTCCTTGATCATCTTGTTACTGATCTTGTCAATACCAGGGCTTTTTCGGTTCTTTCTCTTCTCGATATAATCTAATAACCTCTGATGGCATAATTAAGGGTGTGTTGTTTGTGTGTGTTTTTGTTTGGAATTGTGTGATGAGTGCCGAAACCGAGTGTTCTGTATGAGGGTTAGAAATGTTGTGAGTGCGAAATTGAGATGCATAGTGATCTGCAATAGACTCAGCTTTCTCAAAATCGGTGTATGCGATCCCGTTGGGGCCATTAATGGGCGGAATATTAGTGTTGCGTCTTTTAAATTTAGATACAGCACTCCACAGTGAGTTATCATCTGTGGATAATGCTTCTAAGTGTCTGGCCCAGTCAAGTTGTGCATGTTTTTTTAGTAGAGTCCTGACTTGTTGGTTTAATTGATTAAGTAGAATTTTGTCCGTGGGACATCTGAAACGCTGCCATTGCTTTCCGTGTGCGGTTTCTGTTTCGGATCAGCTCCCGGATTGCACTGTTCTTGTATCTTCTGTCAGCTCTCATTGCTTTGCTGTTTTTGAGTAAGGCATCTTGAAGCTCATCAGTGTAAATTCTTCAGTGTAAGCGTCTAACTCATCCCTTGAGTGTATCGTGGTGGTGGGGTACTGAGTGTTGTTTAGAGCTTTGGCATAACCTGCCCAGTTTGTAAAAAGGGCTCTTTTGTGTGGTGTACTGTAGGAGTCGGTAGATATTTCCATCATCACCGGATTATGGTCTGA